CTGGGTAAGTGCAGAGCAAGATTCTAATCTTCTAATCCAGGATTGTCTATTACAATTTTTCTGACTAGTCTGTAAGAAGGATCTGAGCCTCTAAGGAACTATTTTAACTCATGGTTCTTCTAAGTCTCAGCTCTGTCTCTAGGAACCTGTATCCAGGTTCTAGCCCCTTGAACCCCTCAGTGAGCCAGCTCTGGACTTTGGAAGACAGCCATTCTATGATGTTCAGTGGAAATCTTCACTTTTATTTAGTGAAATATCTACATGAGTTGTAGTTTGGGCCTTGGGCATAACATAGGTTCCTCTGAATCTGTGGATCCTGCATGGTACAGCTAAAAGGGATTTTTCTGCTTTTACCTATTTATTTTACAGATGAGGAGATGTGAGTGCAAGGAGAGGAGCCCTGTTCAACTTACCATCCTTGAGTTACTTGAAATGTTATCTTGTCATTCTGCCTTACCTTTCTTCTTCTAGCTGTTCCAGTCTTTCCTCTTGAGATGTTTTTTTTTTTTTTAACCTTTCATTACCCCAGTCATTCTCCTTATGGTCAGCCTCCAGCTGGCCTGTGTCCCTCTTGTCTTTGGAACTGACTTCAATATTTCAAATTTGGGTTGATTGCCTGGAGTCCTACAGTTTAATTCTGCAAATCATTATGAGACCCTACTATAGGCCAGGGACATGTTATAACCCAGTCACCTTTTGCTTATTTCCATCCCCTCTCCACACTGTGTTTATGATACTATGGGTTTTTGTACATGTAACAAAAGCCATTAGAACTGTAGGGTAAACCAGATGAAAGCTTGTTTGCTCATCTGGGACAGATGCTCCACCCTATGAGGTAGCAAGGCTTCCAAGTGGCTTCTCTCTTGCTGCTTTTTGATCCTTGGATGTTACTTTCTTTATCAAGAGGGCCAACCAGTGCAGTTTTTTTCCTAGCCAATGTGAAGGCACAACTGATGGGTGCCTCCTCTTTTCTCAAGAAACAGCCTGAAAGTTGAACTCTTCTTACACGCGCGCGCACATACACATATATTCACACGTCCCATTGGTCAGAATTTAATCTCATGACCACACCTACCTGAAGGGAATCTGGGAAATGTAGTCTTTTATTGTAGGAGGCTGTGTGTCAACTAAAATATTCCTAAGAAAAGAGGGTGGTGGTTTTTGATTGGAAAATATTAGTCTTTTCTATACCCTGCCTATTTCAGCTCCAAGAAAGCAGGCCCTGGTTGGTACTCTATGGCCTCTGGCTTCTCCAGCTTATGAAGTACCATTTCTAGGAAAGATGGCAAAGTAGGACCTTCTAGGAATTCTCAGAATTCCATGAGGGTCTGAAATTCAAAATCTTTGGTGAGGAGATCACAATGATAAAATGTATTGGGGGCTACTGTTTTATTTGCTGGGATTATTTAATATTTAAGATGCATTATCTTATTTAAGTCAGAGGAATCTTGGTGGAGGGCATGTATTATGATTAATTCCCAATTTACAGATCAAATTTTCCAGAGAGATGAAGTCATCTCCCAAGGTCACACAGCAGATGCAGGATGAAACAGCTACGTATTTATCTAAGTACACTGGGACCTGAGGTCATTGGCCACTTGCTTTGATAACAGATAAATCAGAGTTGCTCATTAACACTTCACAAAGCCCTCTCATGTGCCTCCATAATAATTAGAAACTTCCAATTATAACCTGAGCAGGAAGTGTTGTTTTAAATAGGTCGTAAGCCCAAGTTGAAGGGACAGGACTTACATCCTGTTTGCTGAGTGTGAGCTCAGGTCAGACAAAATAGTTGGTGACCAAATTAAAAAAAGGCCCTCTATCAGCAGTGCTTCTCTGGGTATTTTCTTTTACGTGAGGAAACTGAGGCACCGACATAGGCATTGACCTCAATAGGTTGGTGCCTAGCAGAGTTACGTGTGGTAGAGTTAGGATTTGGCTCCATGTTGGTCTGATGTCAAGCTGGAAATCTTAATTTGCGTGCTCTCTCCTGTTCATTTCCCTGGTGGGGTGCGCTTCTATATCTTCCTGTTTGGGATTTCCCCAGCATATCCAGCTACTGGTGCCCAGCCTGTTTGCTGGTCTTGCTGCACCTGGTTAGAGATTATAGGCTGTAATTGTTCACTGACTTTTTTAGACTCTTATTTGTTGATAGCCTTGCTTAAAAAATTTTTTTTCTTATTAGTATGGAGGGTGGATTATTCATCCAAATCTTAACAATGGGGTACTGAATGAAGAAAACATGTCTCTATGGTAAACTTGTTTTCCAACTCAAATCAGGATATGTGGACCACTTGAGAGGCACTGGACTCGTAGATATTTTAGAATTATCTGGGGAGCTGTGGGTGGTAGTGGGGAAGCTACCCTTTCTGAACGGGTAATATTTATCGTGGGATCTACTGGAGGATAAGAAGAAATCAGTCATGCAAAGAGCCAGAAAGCAGTTCTTAGAAGAAGGAACAGCAAAAACAAATGCTCTGGGTGGGGAAATGAAAGACAGATAAGGAATTAAACTAGTATCGTGTTTGAGTCTTACATGTTTTAGAGTTTGTTTGTTACAGGAGGGGAGACAGAAGCTCATTGTCAGCAATAACCTCTACCCCCAAGAATCAATGGCTATTTTTGGACAAGCCTCAATGAAGTTAGGAGTAAGTGCCTTCATGCTTGTCAGATTCTACTTTGCTTGTACATCTTTGGAAGAGTGATAAACAGCATCCTTGATGAAGTGCTATTCTCTTTCACTTCATTAAATTCACCTTTGGATGTGGTTAAATCAACAGAGTTCTTTTGGGACTTCCGGGGGCTTTGGATATAAGAAAACAGTGAAGTTTTTGATATTAGCCATGCTTTATAAAATCATTTACATCATTCTTTCCTCTCAAAATCCCTTTCAAGCATTTAAGGGGTTGGAAGTTAGATTGTTACGTCAGAATCACAACTTAGAAAATTGGAGGGTGCTCAAAGGGTGTTCTGTTGACTGAGGAGTTGGGCCGTTCTGAAAACAATGGCAGATTCTTTTATTTACAGTGGCCACAGCCTCACAGATGTGCATCAACTGGCTATAGTCCATCAATAACTAAGCAGATTTGTACATTGTTCCAACTTGGGCACTTGCGTTCTTACTCTAATGTTAATTCAGCTGTTCATATTAAGAATTTTAACATAGCAAGGAGTTCTTTTTAAAAAGCCAACAAAAAGAACACAAGTTCAACAATTAATTGTGGGAATCTGAAAGTACATTCTGGACTTGTTACTTGTCCTGGCTCAGCAGAGATCCTTTTGATGTACCCTCAATTACAATAGAAATAACAGCTTGGTGAAATAAGCAGACTCTTAAGGTAGAGAACTGAAGCCCTGTGAAGAGCCTTATCTTCTAAATGTATTGTGCTTTGCCATTAGCCATGAATAAAAACCATCAGTACCTTATTTTCCGTTTATAAAGCGCTTCCACAGACATTGTTCCTGCTTCATTTTTACAGCTGCTTTCTGAGCTGGGGATAGTTATCTTCATTTTATGGCTGAGGATACTGAGGCTCAAAAGCATTAAGTCACAACATAACTAGCAGGAGACAGAACCAGCATTCCCATCTGGTTATTGTGCAAGTAGTTGGAACTCCTGAAAGACATAGTAGCTTAAAAAGCGTCAGGGCCATCATCAGAAAAACAACTTAGGGTTGTTTTCTCCATGGGTATTGTCTTAAACTTTTGAGAAAATAACTGTAAATTATGCTCCATCCTAACCTTAATAGTGCTTTTCATAATGCCCTTGGCACTATTTGGTTAGTTTCCCCAAATTTTAGTGTTTATATTGTCTTGTGTTTAATTATATCATGTTGAAGGTAGAACCTAGAAAACCATTATTACAGATTGTTTGCATGACATTTTTTTAAAAAATAGGAAGCATAGACATGAATAGAAATAAATATAATTATGCAAAGTAACTGAGGTTTCAGCTAGGTCAGTATCTGTTTTGCCTATTATAAGAAGTACTAAAGATAAATTATGAATCTCTTGGACTAAATACTTGAGAAAAAGATGGCAATTTTATTGTTCGGTTAGTGTATGCAATAACGTTGGAGAGAGCAATAACAAAACTGTGTCAAAGGAAAAGGGAGACTCAGATGAGATTATATTTGGAATATTTTCTAGGCAGACACGAAAACTGAAAATATAAGATGTAACCCCATGTGACAGAAGAATTAGGAGAATGCAGACTACAAAACCCCTAAGCTGGGCAGTCTCTCTTAGAGTGGTCAATCATGTGAGGTCTTTGAGAAAGGTGTTTCCTGGCGTGGTGCATACAACATGCAGAATTGCTGCTGGAGAAGAGACAGCATAAATACTCTTTTTGTGTTGTTAGAACAGCTCAGCAAAATAAAATTCCTGTTTATTGTTGGACAACATTGTTTCACACATACATCAAACAGGCCAAAAAAATAAGCAGCAACTTCATTGACAAACAAAGGAAAAAAAAAAAAAGAAACCTTTTTATCTTTGGTCTTTTTAATCATCTCATACAAACCAACTACTTATAGTACAGCTAAAGTACATACATACAAAAAGTTACTGGAATGCTTGGAATAAGATTTTTGTTGTTGTTGTTTTTGCCTTTTTTTTTTTCTCCTTTGAGATTATAATGAACATGGTCACACCACAAGTAAAGTCAGAAGTAGGAGAGAAAACGCTCCAAAGCCTGGTTTGGTCATCTGAGATCATTAAAAATGGCTGACCATTAACAATATAAAAAATACAAACAATTTTTCCTTTTTTAAAGTACTTAAAGAAAAAAAAAGCAGGGTCTTGGAAGTTTTGTTCTTTTTTCCTCCCCTGTTGCAAATTCACGTTGTGGTTTGGTTGGGTGGTGAAGAGCGTGTGTCACTGCGGGTGGCACTGCCCGCGGTGGACCGGTGGGGGGGACAGGCCTCTTTGCCGGAAGGTGACCACATTTAGATTCTGAGGTGGGAAGTGGAGGGTGAATAGGTCACGGTGGCCTTTTATTTTTAACTTTTCCTTTTTTGCTGTCTAGTCGTCCTCATCGTCTTCTGCTTCTTGGTATCATGGTCCTGGTCATCTTCAGCTGCCTGATTGCCCATAGCTGCCTCAGCCTCCTCATCTTCATCTCCATCCTCTTCCTCACCATCACCTTCCTCCTCCTCCTCCTCTTCCTCACCACCCTCTTCCTCTTCTTCATCCACCTCATTGTCAGCCTCCTGCTCCCCACTTTCCTCATTAGCATTCCCATTAGCAGGGGTGCCTCTCCCATTCTCTGGCTCCTCCACAACTTCCTTCTTCTCCCTTAAGTCCTTGGTGGGGATCTGGGAGCTAGTGCCCACGCCTCGTCGGACATGGTGGGGCACCCGGTGATCCCAACCAGTGAGTTGAAAAGGAAACTAGAGTACAGGGACTCTGGCGATAAAGCTGCCAGAGTCCGCAGTGGAGATGGCTGCACAGAGTGGGAAGCAGCCAGTGGGCTAAATACTCTTTTTATAGAAGCATTTTTTTTGGTGCTTATAGTTATACATTATAGTAGGGTGTATTTTGACATATTTTACGTACAGGGAGTGTAGCCCATTCCAATTTTCACCCCATTCTTGTGGTTGTACACCATGTGGAGTTACATTGGTTGTATATTCATATATGAGCATAGAAAAGTTATGTCTGATTCATTCTGCTGTCTTTCCTGTTCTCATCCCCTCTCCATTCCCTTCATTCCCTTTTGCTAATCCAATGAACTTTTTTCTATACTTTCCCTCCCTACCCTCCCTTGTTATGGGTTAGCGTCCACATATCAAAGAGAACATTCAGACTTTGGGTTTTTAGGACTGGGTTATTTCACTTAGCGTAATATTCTATAGTTCCATCCATTTCCCGGCAAACACTATAATTTCATTCTTCTCTATGGCTGAGTAATATTCCATTGTGTATATATACTACATTTTCTTTATCCATTTATCTGTTGAAGGGCATCTAGGTTGGTTCTAGCTTGGCTCTTATGAGTTGAGCTGCTATAAACATTGATGTTTCTGCATTCCTGTAATAATGCTGATTTTAAGTCCTCTTAAAATTGGGATAGCTGAGTCATTCCATTCCAAGTATTCTAAGAAATCTCTATACTGCTTTTCAGAGTGGTTGCACCAATTTGCAGTCCCACCAGCAATGTATGAGTGAACATTCCCCCTACATCCTTGCCAATATTTATTGTTACTTGTATTCTTTTTTTTAATATTTATTTTTAGTTGTAGTTTATTTATTATTTATATATTTATTATTGTATTTATTTATTTTTGTGTGGTGCTGAGGATCCAACCCAGGGCCTCACATGTGCTAGGCAAGCGTTCTACCACTGAGCCACAACTCCAGCCCCTACTTGTATTCTTGATAATTGCCTGGAGTGACTTAGAAAACCGATACTCCAATAAAATAGAAAATCATGACGACATTGACAAATTCCTAGAGACATATGACCTACCCAAATTGAAATGGGAAGACATAGAAAATTTAAACAGATAAATTTCGAGCAATAAAATTGAAGATGCTTTCAAAAGCCTTCAAAGAAAAGCCCAGGACCAGATGGATTCTCAGCCAAGTTCTACCAGATCTTCAAAGAACTTACACCAGTACTCCTCAGAGTATTCCATAAAATAGAAAAGGAGGGAACCCTTCCAAACGCATTCTATGAAGCTACTGTCACCCTGATACCCAAACTGGACAAAGACACATCAAGGAAAGAAACTTCAGACCAGTATCCCTCATGAACATAGCAAAAATTCTTAATAAAATCCTGGCAAATTGTGTACCAAAACATATTAAAAAAACAGTGCACCATGATCAAGTGGGTGATGTAAGTTTGGTTCAACGTATGGAAATCAGTAAATGTGATTCATTATATCAATAAACTTAAAGACAAGAATCATGATCATCTCAATAGATGCAGAAAAAGCATTTAACAGAATTCAGCATCCGTTCATGTTCAAAACACTAGAAAAACTAGGGATGGTAGGAACATACCTCAACATTGTAAAAGCTGTCTATGCTAAACCCAAGGCCAACGTCATTCTAAATGGGGAAAAATTGAAAACATTCCCTCTAGAAACTGGAACAAGACAGGGATGCCCTCTTCTACCACTTCTATTTAACATAGGCCTCGAAACCCTAGCCAGAGCAATCAGACAGAAGAAAGAAATTAAAAGGATAAGAATAGGAAAAGAAGAGCAAAAATTCTCTTGGCACAGCTAACGATGCCTAGGAAAGGGGTGAGCACTTCCAGGAGAAGGGAGAGCGTGGGCTGTTGGGAGGATCGCAAGTCCTTTCCTTGGACTGGAGAAAGGGCTGGTGGATGGAAGGGCCCCTGAACTGTTTAAAAACACTAGATTCTAGTTCACATTTCAACAGTAGCCCTCTGGAGATGATTAAAGGCGTCCAGAGCTGGGGCTGGGGATCAGCAGGACATTTAGGAGGCTAGAGATAGAAATGGCCAGATCTAGGGTTCTGGCTGGTGGTGGGCACATAAAAAGGTGAGCTGGATTTTATTTTATTTTATTTTTGCCTGTGGGAACAAGGCTGGGGGTGAGGGAGGGAATAAGGCCACTCAGCTTTCTCTGTATCCACCCAGTACCCAGGAGCTGCCCATGCCAAACAGTCATGTCTCCACCAGGGCCTAGTGGCCAGTCAACCAGAGAGGTTTTCAGTTCTTGAACAGTTTCTTTCCTAATCATCACTCCAAGCCTGAGTTGTTAATGCCTGTGGGGCTTCTCTATTCACAGAACCCGTGGAGAAGTGATTGCCTTTTTTGGTATATGTCCACACTTTTCATGCGGAGTCGATTTATTGATTTATTTTAAATATATACACATATATCTGTATATACATATATTTACTTATTTTTAGTTGTAGATGAGCACAATACCTTCATTTTATTTACTTATTTTTATGAGGTGCTGAGGATGGAGCCCAGTGCCTCATACATGTGAGGCAAGGGCTCTGCCACTAAGACACAACCTCAGCCCCAGAGCTGATTTATTTTAACACCTGTGTTCAGGCCAGCCAGGAGTGTGGTGTTCAGGAGGTTAACTAGAAGTGATAAACCTTCTCATATATGTGGAATAAAAGCATCTAAGTAGCATGCCCTTCTTTCACTATAATAATGGTGGTGGTAAGAATGACTAGAACTAAAATTTGAAGGTCTAGTCTATATAGCTTGAGACTTCCTATCACCTAGAAGACAAAATTCATGTTTTCTTAAAGGCATTCTATAACACGGTCTTGCCTACCTTGCCATTCTTTGCTCACTGCTCTGTACACAGTATTGCTAATCAGTTGATAGTCCAGAATATATGGTCAAAATTAACAATATTCGGTTGGGCACAGTGAGACACTCCTGTAATCCCAGCTACCTGGGAGGTTGAGGCAGGAGGATTCCAAGTTTGAGGTTAACCTGGGAAACTTAGTGAGACGCTGTCTTAAAATAAAAAAAAATGAGGGGCTGGGGTTGTAGCTCAGCGGTAGAGTGATCGCTTAGCAAGTGTGAGGCCCTGGGTTTGATCCTCAGCACAACATAAAGATAAATAAATAAAATAAAGGTATTGTATTCATCTACAACTATAAAAAATAATTTTAAAAAGGGCTGGGGTTGTAGCTCAGTGGTTGAACACCCTCATCCCCAGTACCACCACCACCTCAAAAACAAAATCTAAACTACAACAAAACCTACAGTGTTTATTGAGCCAGACACTCTGGGAGATATTGGCCAAATGAAACTATTCTTTTATGGAATTTCTTTTCTAGTATGTGAAGATGGTGGGAGAGCAGAGTAAATATAGTCTCATCAAGGAAAATAAGCTATTATGAGGAGAATGGGAATGGTTGATTTGAAAAGCCCGTGGAAGAAATATTTAGGTAGAGACCTGTAGGGAGTGAGGAAGCAAACTCAAGACTCATCTCCTGTGTTCTGCACCTGTGCCTGCCCCTCTAGATTATCGTGAAGCAGAGCCCAGTCATAACATAATTTCATTCTTAAATATTTCAACATGTCTCTAAAATGTGAGGGCTTATTTTTAAAACATCACCACAGTATCCTCATCCTATTTAAAGTATCAATTGTTCTTAATATCATCCAATATCTGTCTGCTTAAAATTTTCCAATTCTTAAAAGTAGAAGTCTTATCTTTTCATTTTTAGAGTTTGGTTGAGCCAAGATCCAAATAATACATTGAAGTTGATTGACATGTCTCTAAGTCTTTTAATATCTTAATATTTTAAAAACTTTAAAGTTTTTATTCCCTCTTTGTCCTCTTGCAATCTATGTTTGTACTATGGATTTTCCTGAAGTTTGGATTTTGCTAATTGCATCCTATGGTAGCATTTAACCTATGTGTTCCTGGTAGTTAGATTTAGACTTGATCAGATGTTTTTTTGGATTGGATTATTTTTGCAAAATTATCTCATACATATACAATGTATGGTTGTTACTGTTTTTGTGATGGTTGCCTAGTTCCACTATTTTATTAGAGCTTGCAAACCGTAATTTCTATCATTTCCTTCTTTGTTAGCTGCAATACTTCTAGGAGGAAAAAATTTCCCTCATCAGATATTTGGCTACCCTCAAATATAGTTTTATAAAGTAGAGTCAAGAAAAGGCTTGAATTTTTTTTTCCTTCCAGTTTTTTATAAAGGGATGGGGAGTTCCTAAGCCTTCACCAGGTGACTAATGAACTTTCTCTCTCTCATATTTTAAGCATCAATTTATTTTTTGAGCTACTCTAATTATTATTTTTACTGCAGCTCAAATGAACCCATCTTTGGCTTGTGGGAGCCTCTTCCATTTGTTATCCTTTTTTTTTTTTGATAGTTAAGAGTCTGCTGTAATAATTCAGGTATGAGAAATGGGAATTGAACTCAGGGGTGCTCCACCACTAAGCCCTTTTCCCAGCCCTTCTTTATTTTTTATTTTGAGACAGGTTCTCACTAAATTCCAAGGTGGGCTTTGAACTTGCAACCTTCCTGCCTCAACCTCACAAGCCACAACCATCTTGCCTTCTAGGAGCTTATGGAAAATATGCTTATATTTAAAGGCTAAAAGAAGGGCAACTGGATAATGGTCAGTCATCAGGTGGTCACTTGAGATTAATTCCAAGTGCAGAGAAGGAGGATAGAAGGAATTTGAAGCTGGCCAACCAATTATGTAATAGCCCTGACCAAGGTTTCCAGGGAAGAAACAGAAGCAAACCACGATGGAGATTTGAATGCTTTGCTCTGCAGATGATGCCACCCTCAGTGGCAGCTAAAACTGCAACTCCATGTTCAGTTTGGTGGCGCTCCTACCAGTGCATGGCTTGTGGTAAATTGCATGGATCAAAATTGGACATTCACAGTAGAGCCTGTGAATCATGGG